AAAGTATTTAAAAAATCCAAAGGACAAAGAAATGTCCAAAGCAAACAATCTTTTCTGGCACAAACAATAGAAGTCTTACAGGTCAGGACAGATAACTCAGACAGCGGTTTTGGCTGCTCTGGCAAATGTCAATATTTATTGTGTATAAAATACAATTGTGGCACAAGGCCAAAAGTGGGAAAGGGTTTAGGCTGGTCAACACTATCTATATTATACGTAGCTAATCAGATTCACAACCCATTCATTCATTACAATTTGCACATTCACCACAAAAACTCATCTGTCATCATTCATTCCTACAATACCGCATACACCCACGGAACCTACAAAACACCCCATAAGATAAAAACATTCTTTGAGTATAAAATTATATATAAAAATTTATTGAAGGTAAGAAATGAAGGGGGAAGGAGATGAATCTGACAACAAACTAAAATATAACAAAATGCACAAAATCAAGAGGATCTCTTGCTAAGGGAGAAGGAAGGATAAAATACGGCCATGGAAAAAAAACTGGCCCAGTCAAGATGAAAGATGAAAAAGGGGCCAAGAAAAAATTGGGGCAGTTGAGAGGAAAACAGGAACAGGCCAGGAACAACACTTTCTCACATTAACTAGGTACACCAAATGCTTTCTATCAGTTCTAATCTTCATCCTGTGCTGATGCTCAAAGATTAGATCCTGATGAGAATAACATCATAGAAGGCATGCAAAACTACTTCCTCTAATCCAAGGTCACATCAATGACAGTCTGGCAAATCATCCAAGCTCCATCTGAAGACCACATTGAGGCAGCCTATTCCAAACCAATTGCCATTGCCAGGTAAGCAAAAACTCAGCATCATTGAGGTCATCCACTGCTGGCACCCAAGACCAAAAAGATCGCGACTTGTCCGCCAACAAACCAAGTCATCCGCAGAGTGGATCCTTCGCAACACCCTCCACTAATCCTTGATAAAATACTCTCCTAGGCTGAGAAAGGTCACTGGATTGAGGAATGACCCTCAAGACCGATCTACACTCAAGAAGGAAACTCAATTGATCCCAGGGCTTATGAATGTGATCAGCTCTCGAGACAGGAGGAGTGATGGTAACACAAGGGAAGGCGCCTCTCACACTTTGCATCAAAATTGAGTCCTCTGTCAATGCATGGTGTAAAAAAGCCAACCTCGAAGTGTGTTGGTGACTCATGAAGTGTGGCATTCCCAGCCACTCATGACACAGAGAACTCTATCGACATGATGCCTGTGTCCACACCACAAGAGGGAGGAGAGCAAGCACTCAATCACCTTCTTACACTCCTTGCAGAGAGGAAGTATAGACAACGGATAAAAGATGAGATGAAAAACTTAAGTAGCACACACCTCAGCCCTACCCTTTAAGGACAACCTCGTTTGGCACCAAGTCTTGGTTGCTGCTCCAACCTTTGCTTGAACTTATAATGAATTTTTCTGGGCTCAAACCACACTGAGAATAGAAACAGGCTTGTCCGTACAACAAAAGGGCCCCGGAAGATCGACCTCCTTCCAGACAAGACTTTTTGTGGTTAATCTTGGTTATGGTGACCTTTTTGTAATGTTCAAGCGCCTTCAGTACCAACTCAATGTTGCTGCAGGATGACACGAAAGTAGATACATCAGCACACATGGAATCTTTGGTTCGAGCCCCATCAAGGACAGTGAATTCATGTAGAGTCAGACTGCTTGCCCTGTCCCTCAGTCGGTGAGAGACTCCAACACCATCCCTGATGAACCGACCGAGACAGTGCAAAAGCACACAACTGCTTTCCATTCACCTGTACCACAGCATTGGGGGAGCAATGCACGGGGCTAATCCACGGGCAGAAGTCGAGTTTGTATCCAGTGGCTAGGTACCAATGGTTGGACATATCAAATGCCTTGGATTGATCCAAATTGATCAGTGTGACTTGCTCGTCATCTTTTACACCCTCTAGGATCATTTGGATCAGTTGCAGGTTACTCTGAATTGTTCAGCCGTTCACAACATAAGTATGCTCGGGTCCCAACTGACTGCAAACACTCCATCAGGATCTTGGCCAAAATCTTTAACTCATAGTTATGGGCCTGTAATCATCTAATTTCTGCCCACTATCCTTGTCCTTTTTCAACAGTGGGATCATGCCTCTGGAAATCCAGTTGTGAACAGACCCCTGGCAGAACCAGTTGTTGAACATGACAGTCAAAATTGAAACAAAGATGTGCAACAGCTTTAAGTACAATTCATAGGGCAGACCATCAAGTCCTGGGGACTTGCCACTGCCGACCTTCTTCAATGCCAAGTAAACTTCAGCCTCTGTGATCTCTCCCTCAAAGCTTCAGTCAGCAAAAGCCAAGTAATGTCAACCAAATAGGACTGGCTATCTGCAAAACTCTTTGTCACAGAGATCAGGCACCTTGGTAAACCAGCTCTAGAAATGCTGCTGAAATGCTTCACACATGCTGTTGACCTTACAAATGTATCAACCGGAACCTTGACAGAACTCTTCCTTGCTCAATTCTGTGTCCATGTTCACAGCTTCAAAAGACATCTTGTTTAACTTATGCCTAATTACCTAATCCTGATAGCATTTGCTAGCCACATGCTGTAGGGCCTCCCTAGCTAGGCCTATCACTAGAGGATCCCCCAGCTTCTGCCTGAAAAAGACTATCCTTGAGAGCCTTCAATTGTTAGCCTTATGTAGTGCAAGAAGCTGCCTATATTCAGTAGTAAAGGGCCTAATACTATCTTTAAGCCACTTCCACCACTTCGCTGCTCTGGCAATTATCTGGGCCCGTTGGTGAATGGCTTATATAATAAGCTGGATGTTATGCTACTTGGGCCAGCCTATTCTTTAGGTTCTGATTGGCTGTTGACTTTGGTGTAGATACTGTGATCAATAAATATCCATCATTAGACTGCTTTGCGTGCTTGATATGGGGTGGGGGTCGGTATTAAGTTACAGCCCACTTTTTTTCATCTGCTAACTGGATGCTAGTTTGGGACTTTCTTGTGAGGGTGAGTATCATATTTTGATTCTACAGATATCACATAAATGTTTGATATATTTTGTATTTGCTTATTTGTTTTTTCCACTGAACCAGTATATTTAACTTTTTTCAACACTATCACACCCAGAGATTGAACTCATAACTGCCAGGAAATCAGATATGTTTTAACCACCACCTTACTAAGCTATATGTCACTTGGATAATTCAGTGATGTCATTTTGGCACCTTAAACCTAGCCTATATTTAGCTGATAGAACTTTTTGAATGTCTTTTCTTAATCAGAAGCTCCTATATGGTATACATTTTTATGCTAGGTCTAGATTCTTTCAGTCATATAATGTGTTCTATATCTATTGTCTTGACTTTATTCCAAGGGGAATGATGACATCCTTTTTTCTTTCATGTACAATCAGTGATGCAGTCTCTATCAATCAAAGTCTCTCTGCAAACTACAGTCTTTCAATGTTCTTCTACTTTTAGTGGCTGTCTGGGCTTTCTAGTGTATTCCTTGCCACCACTGCATGAGATGGAATATACAAAGTTCTTGATCATGTTTTGCAGACATCTTCGTTCAGATGAGATGTCTCTGAAGGTTCAAACTACTTTTGATTGGTTGATTGTTCTGTTTTAATGGTATATCATGCCTGTCATTTAATGCCAAAAATATTTTTTTAAATTGAGCTATATTTGAATACTTTCTTGATGTTATATAGAGCACAGATCATTTGCATATTTTCAGATGTATCCTTTATGTATAGTAGATTACAGCAGTATTTTTTGTCTTCTTCCCCTGCTCATAGAAGTTGGTTGTTAAGCTTGTAAGGTAGTTGTTACTTTGAAGGGTGTTTCTAATGCTATTTACTGTTAGTATTTGCTTAAGTCATCACTTATTAGTTTGATCCAATGTTGTAAGCAGCAGATCATTCCTTTTTTGACACCATAACTGATGGGAATAAATATGGATATCTTGAACCACTGTGCCAGTAATCAGTAGATCCAGGAAGGCTAGTTTATTTTTATTCCACTGTGGACTAAATGGAAAATCTTATAGAGTTCACAGTGTGCAGAGGCATTTTTCATATCTTCCTAGTGACATTTATATATCTAAGCCACATGTTGTTTTCATCCTTTTTTGTTTGATTTCTAGATGATAAACAAATGTCAGTATATTGTGATTTATTCAAGCAGTTGTTTTAATCTTTGGTTGTTATAGATATTATTATCAACAACATTTTGGCCATCTTCAGGCATACATTTTCTTTTCTTGTATCAATTGATTGTTGCAATTTTCTCACTGTGAAGCTATTTTTGTTTGTTCCTACTCAACCAGAGTATGTAGATTTCACTACCTAATGCAGGAATGCCACAAAATTTGATATAAAAATATGAAAAGCTATACCATTTTTTGAACCAAAGTTCATGTAGCAAAAAAAAAAAAAAAAAAAAAAAATGAAGGGGGTAAAAAAAAAAAAAAAATCAAGTGTGGTGTTCGCTGACAGACCAACTCTTCTTCCTCACTCGCCTCAAGGAAATAGATTCCAGGGCTCTATTTCTTTGCCACCACACTGAGCACTTTTCAGTTGACAAAGTCGGTTGCATCTCCTTCACCTTCTTTTTCCTGTCAATCCACTCGGCCAACTAGCAAATGTAATCCACCCCCAAAAAAACATGCCCCCGTCGCTCTTAGCATCTCACTTTTTATGTCTCCTCAAGCAAGCTAGAATTTGCATATATGCAAATCCCATCTTGTAGAGACGAGACAAGCACTCATAAATTGTGCCCCCAAGAGCAGCCATATTTTCTTTTCAACCCTTTGTATGCAAGACACGTCCATGCTTGTAAGTCATAAGTCATTTCTTTCGTCACAACACCTATCACTAATACAGTTCATAATTTCAAATTTATAAGTGAAATTGTCAAGGGAATTCAATTTTGAGCTGAAAATGATCAATTAGTTTTATTACAGATTTGGGCCAAAAATAACACACTTACCCTGTAAAGTATTTCCTCTGGAGTGAGTACTTTACCATCTTCATCTAATCTGTAAACAGAAACAAATTAACTGTATCATCATCATGGATTAAATAATTTTTTGTGGGTCTTATGTTGTGTGTAATATTTAATAGTATCTTTTTAATAACTTAAACAGCAAAATGAACACTCTTTGCAGAAAGTCATTTTAAATTAATTGGAACCATCATAATTTATATCTCATTTCTTAAATCTTTTTCTGTCAAATGAATACTATAAAAGTGAAAAATGTCAAATATTGAAAAAGATGTGATATTTATCATTTGCATATGGCAATATTGGTTAGATCATATTTAAAAAAAAAAGGAAAGATCTAACTTTTTCAGAGTAATTCTTATTAAATTTGCAAAAAATATTTTACATGTTTTGAAACTTGACATTTTTTTTTGTGCAAATATTACTATTTTAGATGTTAGTTAACTTTAGTTATATATAAACTATATTATCCTTTTCAGTGTTTACTTACATTCTACATTAAATAGTAAAATTATGTAAAGAAATTATTTCTATTTTCTATGAGCTTCATTTTTTTTACATTTAATTTTTTTAAGAACCTAAACTAAAATATTTAAATATACAAGAGCCCCAACTGACCTCCAACTCCTCAATATCTAACCAAATATCAGATTTTTTGGCAAAGGACTTCTACTTCTGATTGAGTACTTTTCAGCACTCCTTTGTAAAGCTAAAATATATACAACTGTAGAAATTATTTATTTAATCTTCCAACAATACAAGTTACATATTCTAGATACATTTCTTTCAATTTAAGTTAAATTGAAAGTATAACATATATTGAGAGTATAACTGTTGTAATTAACATATCTAAAGACACTGATAAATTCATTTTATTATCTTTCTGCAAATGGTCCACTAAACTCTCAAATTACAAACTCATAAGTTTTATTTAAAATATTGTGTATAATTAATTCCTAGAGTGATTTTAGGTCTGCTTTATCTATAACTCTTCTTTTAAAGTGGATTGATTATAAATTAGAATTAATAAACAAATTTTTATCTTAAAATTCAGCTGTAAGATTAATCTTTTCCAAAGCATAAAACGACTAACCTCAAAGTTCATCTTCAGCTAGATAAGTAATAATTTTAAAACTAGTTAATTTAAATATTTATCATCTTAATTATCAAATTTCATTTATTTCTGCCAAACATCATTAAAACCCTTGTAATTTCTTACACTTTCTTTTTTACAGCTTTTCAGTAGAAGCAATGAAACTTATGTCTGGCACAGGTGAGAAATGAATAGAAAAATAGTCATGTCCCATGCAATCGATCCTCATTTCTAAATGCATATGAAAAAATTTGCTTTTACAGTAAAATATCTTGTGTAATTTCTTTTTCTTCTATTACAGATTGATTTATAGAAATGTACTGAAAAATATTTGTATGTCTTGTGGCTTTTTCAAAATTATACTTATATGCTCATCAGTATTTTATAAAAATAAGAATGATATACCGGTAAGTTTTGCAAAGAACCAATCTTGAATAAACAGACTGAAAATCTTTTTCAACCTCTCGTGTTGCTGCCTGAAAAATAAATGGAATTAAGATGTTAAACCAAAAATTGATGCTTTAAAAATTACTGAAAAAATTTTAAACACATTTTCAATGGTCAAATGTACCTATTCTTAGATGTTGAAATTATCATTAGGTGAAATACTGACTTATCACTGAAAGTATTGACTATTATCTCTAAAACTAAATATCTATATTTATTTCCTTTAAAAATAGCCATAACATGATTTTTGCCTCTTGAATTGTGTGTATCTTTGAGTATCAACAAAAATGCTGAACATGAACACAGTGTGATGCATATTCACTATTTTGACTTGGTGTATTTAAAAATTAAACTAATCTAGTGAAATCCTTATTTTAATTTTAATGTTCTTGGTTTAGTTTCTTTGTTCAGTAAAGAAATTTGTAGACCACCATTTTTAAGGACCAATAACATCTAAGCTATTTGGAACAAAGGTAAAATGAAGCCAGAAATAGTTTATTTGCATATAATTTTTAAGTATCAAATACCAAAGGTGGCAAAATAAATAAAAAAAAAACATGACAAGCATGATAAAATAAGTTATTCTAGATAAATAAGTTTTAAACCTAAAAAGAAGTTCACAAAACAAAACTTCTGTCATACGATCTTCAGACATAAGAATATATGGTAGAAATATGAAAATTTTCTTAAACTGCCTAACTCATCTGCTATCAATAAATTAGGCAATAAGGATGTTAAAACAAAAAAAAACTGAAGCAATTTTCAAATAGTAATACTGACATTCCTATAGAAGGAATGAATATGCTGACTGCATAGAAATAATCTATTAAATCATAAATGACAAAAAGTAATATGGATGCTGTATCTGACATATTTTTAAATGGGAAGCTCTAAAAGTAGACAGTGTCTTTTTGTATTTTAACAGTTTGGTCCATTTTCAATTCCTTATAAAAATAGAAGTAGATAAGACACATCTAAACTGTTACATTTTTGTAATCTACAATAAATATTAACTATTCTCACCAAGTTTCAAATCTGTACATGTTATATCTTTGGAGCTATGAATATTCAAAATTTGTTGAAAGCCTTGCAAAAAATGCAGTGAAATGCTCTGATTTTAAAACTGATAAATTACAGATCTAATATGTAGGATTTATTAATAAATTTGTTCAAGGAACACCTGTGAATTTTTGCATATTTTTCTGAGATGTCACCTGTGACAGTTGGTGGATTTGAGATGGAATGACCCATTTATATATATATATATATATATATGTGTGTGAAAATATATAGAAAATAGGAAGGAACTGGTTAGGTAAATAATCCAAAGTCCCTTAGTATTTTAGTTATTATTTTTAAAAAATAGTGCTCGATACAAAAGTAGAGCATAAATATAATTATTTATTTAAAAATATGATTCCAAATCGCGACATAAGAAGTCCCATGTTTAAAAAAACAAGAGCCGAAAACTTCAATATAATTATTTAAGTTAAATTGAGTTATAATAAGCTCTGTTCAATCTTCAAGCGAAATTTTTTTTGGAATAACGTGTTTCTGAAATTTACGTGTTTTAAAAATTGAAATCAAAATTTCCATGGTAACAGCTAGGGCGAATTGTTTAAATTGGGTAGGCGGGTGTTGGGTGTTAATAATAACTATCAGTATAGAGTTACTTTCGTAGATGTCAAGTCAGGGAAAGGTCGGGGTGTCTAAATTTGAAACGGAAGATGTATTAACCCTCGTCTAGTTTGCATGTCTATGGAGATTTATTTATTTTTTTATTTTATTTTTTATGAAAGGGATTTGTGCATAAAAAAAACTGTCATAACGTTTGTTTTTTGACGACTTCATAAAGGGTTATCTTTTTTAGGTATTTAAACTATTTATTTGGGCTATGGATTATGAAGGGTGTTATATTGTATGCATGTTTTTAGTTAATTATTCAAACCATGAATCTGATGAGTGGGCGATGGATTAAACAAGTTATTATATTGTATGCTAGTTTTTTAGCTAATAATTCAAACCAAAAATCTGATGATTTACAAAAAACCGTTAACTCGTGTCTATTGTTTAATAGATTATTATTATTTAGAAGCTTAATTATGTGCAATTTCTCATGGAGGCATAAAGGGCATGGGTCATCCCAAGTTTTACATGTTCTAGCCTTGTTTATAATTTTTTATAAACAAGGCTAGAACATGTAAAACTTCCGTTTCAAATTTAGACAAATGGATGCTGTATCTGACATATTTTATGAAAAAAAAATCTTTCTTGAAACTTTTATTTTAGTTTTAATTTCAAGCTAATACAGTAAATTTAATATTTCTAATAAGCAAAATACTTTGCTGTATCTCAAAAACTAATTGAGATTGACTAGGATTTTTTTTAAATTGCTAAAAATCACTGATTTTGACTATTCATAGCCATCAGTCAACATACTGTAACTCTCTTTATTAAAAAAATCTTTCAAAAATAAAATATACTTTTCTGAAACTTTATTTGAGGAATATTGGCTGATTTAAAGTTTAATTAATATGATTTGAAACCAATATTACTTACTTTTAGTTTAAAATATTGCAGAAATGCATTTTTTAATACAAAGGTAGGTGTTTTGTTTAGGTGTTGACAGCTTTAGTGACAACTTAACAGCTGGAAGTTTAACTACTTTTTTTCTACAGGGGACATATCTATAAAAATTACATGATGAATATAATGCTAGTGCCTTTTTATATAATTCTTAACCCCCCCAGTAATCTTAAAAATTTAGAAAAACATTCTCTGTAATCTAATGTTTTATTGAATTTTAGGTAGAATGGCTTTAAATTTACTATAGTTACCATTCTCATTTTCTGATAATGTTGTATATGGACATCTGTATTTACAAAAATTGGCATGTTTATACACAAAAAAAATTCAAAATTCTTTTTAAAATATTGAGGGTCAATGAATTGTAGTAAGCTTTTTCATTTATGATTAGTAAAGACAGTTTTTACTTAATAACAATATCACCTAGCTGGTACAAGTTAATACAGAATTTTAAAAGATTCAAAGCTTTATAAATTATTCTAATTAAAATTTTAAAAAAAGGAAAGCAATTCTTAGAAAAATTCATTATTCATCAAAAATTTTTTTTTTCTTAAGACAATAGTGTCCATAATACATCTTATTCATAAAAGAAATTAAATGCTTTTCTAATTAAATAATGTCTTAGTTTTATAGCATTTTTATTTTATGATTCAGAGGAGATTACAAAAAAAAATGGATGATCTAAATTCTCAAAAGAGTTCTGTGTATAACTAATATAAACATTAAATGGTACATAAAATTAGATAAGTGGGGACTGTATAACAGGTATAAAAAACTGTATTTACCAAGATTTTCTAAATAAGTAACATTTCTAAAATAATTTCATTCATTTGTGAATAAGTCATGAAAGTTTCATTATAATCTGACAATTATTTGAGTTTTGCATGAATTTCCAAATCAATGACATTTTCACTGCAAAAAAGACGCTAAAATTTCTTATACTAATTTATACACACACACAGACATATATTATAGTGTATATTTTAAAATATGATAAGTACATTTACAATTTTTACTGATGTAGTGAGAAAAATAGAATTTAAAATAAAATAATGTTTCCAAAACTAAGTTGTAATTCTCAGTATTTTCAGAACAGACAATGATTGAAAAATGAAATGTAAGAATCAGGAGAGATAAAAAGATAAGAACTTGTCAATAAATAATATTAATGTTATTAAAGTTCTCTTACTTCTTCAATAAAAAGCCAAGGATGGCATGTGCCTCCTAAGATTGATGATCTTTTCAAACCATGTTCAAAAACAGCCTTTAGAGCTGGACACAATCTAAAACACAGAGAAAAAGAAAATAATAGAACTTCTTTATAAATCAGTTAACAGGTTTCTGTGACAAAAAATATATATTGTAGCATATTTAGTTTTGAATATTCTCATAAATTTAATCTATAACAAAAAATTAAAACCAGCTACCTAAAAATATATAGCTTCTATCAACTCAATAATGGCTGTTATACAACATGACATTAAATTTAAGAGGTGATGGAATTGCTGCATTGGTATAACTATCTAGGCACATTCTAAGATTGGTCATAACTGAACTGTGTTTATTGGATATGTCTGTAGGGAATTTAGTGCTAGCCAATAGAATACCTGGAAGTAAGCCAATGTTTTGTGTCATTTGCATGCAATGGTTGATGTCACATTTTGCTGGAAAGAATCATCACTTGGAAACATGGTGAGCATAAATGGAAGCAAATGACACTTAACAAGATCAGTGCATGTCACACCTTGTTACGATACTCAATAATGTTTCTTTTAAGCTCAAACAGAACATATACTATAATATTTAAAAGCTTCTACCAGATTATACTTCAATTGAATATTAGTTTTTTTTTACTTCAATGCAGGCCTTGAACTCATCTCAACTTGATAGAAGTGTAATTTTTTTAATTTACACAAATGGGGAATGGTAGATAGTTCGGTGTAAATCCCTTTATAGATCAATGAGGTCTTTAGACATTTAATTTACATTGTAAAGGAAAGGACCATCTGTTGTTTATTACACTAAGCAAATTCATAATTAGCCACCCAAACACATATCAATGGAGATGATTAGAATAAGGTGATCTCAGTAAAGAAACTATTCTGCAAACATAACAACTACTAGCTGAAAAATAATTGCAAAATCTACAGTCAATTAAAAGTGTGTCAAAGAATTAGAGGATCTAAGAGAATCAGGGGAGCATTTGAAAATATGATAGTCCCTATCTAACCTGATACCTCACAACTAGAAAGAAACCAAGTTTATTAAATTGTGACAAAGAATACAAAGGCAAAACCAGCTACTCCTTAAAATAATGTTTGAGGAACGTCAGAAAGCTGTAATCCATAGAGAAACTGAAATCAGGTATAGCTGATACTCATGGTGAAAAACAGGAAAAATCAACTCACATGGAACAAAGTCCTAAGATAAAGTGAATATTTTGTTGGAACAAAAGTTTTTAGCATTCTTTAAGTGAACTTTAAAGACAATATTTATATATAAAGATTTATTCAACCAGATATGTGCCATTTTGTTCCACTGCTATTTACCATCTTTGAGGCAGCTTCATGATTCCATAATCTTGAAACTTTGCATCATTCTGGGTGATGAACTGATTTAAGTGTTTTTTACAGGCTTCCAGAGAATTGAAATTCTTCCCATTAAGGGAACTTTGTTGGGATCAAAATAAGTGGCAATTCAAAGATTTAAATTTAGGTGAATATGTTGGATCCAGTAGGTCATCCCAGCAAAGATATATCAATTTCTGCTGGGTTTGGCATTGTTCTGATGGAAGACAACATGGTTCCAACTGAAAAGTGCCCACATTTTTCACTGATTGCTGACTTTAAATGGTTCTATTGAGAATAGTACTTGTTTTTATTCAACATCACATTTTATAGAAGAAGATTGCAATAAACAATGCCTTTCCAACACAGCACCCACCTCTATTTGGAGATATTTTGAGTACTTAATGGTAGCTTAATATCTGTGTATATCTCAGAAACGAGGTATTATGATTATTGCAATATTTACATTATTCGGACTGTTGTTCTCTTCATTGCCATATTCACAATGTGGAACTAGAACAATCTATCCTGGTGGACGAAATAAAGTGTTCAGTTCAAAATTCCAATCACCTGAAGAAGGCTGGAGTGTACACTGGCCGGAATGTTGTGAATATGGCAATGAAGATGTGGATAACAGTCTGAATAATATAAATAATGGTGGCTCATTTCATTTTCCCTAGGACTTTTTCCACTACACATTGTCCTTTTGAAAAAAATAAGCTGTTTTTGCAGTGTTTGAGTAGAGAATTACAGATGGAAAATTAAATCTTTTTCTGTTAAATTGTGAGGGGGTCATAGAAATTCATAGCAAATGCTCATATATGTGGAGTACCACTGCAATGTCTTTTGATGTATCTTGGAGTATTTTTAAATCAGACTTGGTTTGGTCATCAGCAACTGCAGGCCTGTCAGAATTTTATTATTCTTTCTCCCTATTGTAAGGTTATTGTTATAACACACACTTGTAATTGGTATAATGTAATTAATTAAGTATTCTCTATACATAATGCTTAGGCTGTTGTTGTAACACCTGTATAGTTAGTATGAAGACTGACTTGAATACAACTACTACCCAAGACCATGAAACTCTTTATAGCATTGGATGAGTTCATAGAGTCACCAGGGGTGTACTTTTTGCTCCACAACCCACCAACACCTTTTGAGATTACTACTTTATTAAATAATATTTTTATTTAGTATTAGTATCTTCCCCTCCTCTTTCTGGAGAGTTCACCAATGTACTTTGTAACGTTTTCTTTTTCTTGAATTTGTCCTTACAGGTTCCCCGATTTATTTTGGTGCTGACACATCAAAAATGTTGTACCACATTTTTATTGGTTCTTCAGGTCTTTTATCAGTGAATTTTTTCTTCAGCTGATTTTGGTGTATTTTATGTTGGACTTTTTTTTCTGACATTCAACTTTGAAAAAGTTTCTTCTGGACTTGGTAATGGATAATTGTGTGTTTTGAGACAATTATTTAATCCAGCCAAGAAATCCATGCAAACCCAAATTTTGTCAATTTTTTTTTCTTTATGTACACTGCTAGTGCATCTCATTTTGAATGGTTTACTTTCTGCAATACACCAATTCTTTCTAGTTTGTCTAAGTCTTTGCTGACTTGTTCCAATGCTGTGAATGGTACGCTCCGTTTCAGTTTAAATACTGGCGTCAAACCTTTTTTTTTTTTTTTTACTTTGCCTTGAAATTTGAACACCAACACAGTTCATTAGACAGAACATCAGGAAAACATTATTTTAATATTTTGTTGTGACTTTTTAAATGTACCACTTGTCCACTCACAATAAACGTTTAGTAGCAAATCCCAAAGTTTGAAATAGTTCTATCCAATCTGTACCAAATAGATTCATCACATTTATTAGAACATAAACTTATGTTTTCACCTGCTTATTTCTAAAATAAATATCACATGTTAATTCTCCCCCAGAAAATAATTTCTCACCAGAAACTGAAGATGCGACTTTGTAAGTCCTTTTTAATAATGGCTTTCCAATTTCTTTCCATGTGGTTTCATTTACTATTGAATGTCACTACAAGTATTCAGTAACATTTTTACTTCCACATTATTGATATGCATGTTAATATATTTTCTTTTGACTATTTTTCTGTCTCAATATTGTGTATAAATTTTTTCCTGTGAAATGTTTTTCTTGATTTAGTTCTACAGAATGATTTGATATGTACTTTTTTACCAGTTATAGCATTCTGCATTTTTCCATGGACAGTCTTTCCCAAGATGTAATTTTCCACATCTAAAACAAGGTTTTACATTCCTTTTGTGTATTTTTTCTTAGCATTTACCAATGCACATTTTTTATTCTGAAGTTTTTCAACATCATGCTTCAGACTTAGCATTTGTTTGGCAATTGTCCACTATTCCCTGTAGTGTTGTTATTATTATGTTCGATCTTTGCCAAAATCTTTGTTCGTACTTCAGCATCTTTTTCTGCTGTTAGACTTTGCATGAAAATTAATGCCTTGAACATATGTGGAGTCATTTCTTTTAGTTTAAATTGTTCACATTCTTTGTTGACAGTACCCACATATGTGACAAAATCTTCATCCTCTTTTTTGGTTAAATTCATGCATCTCCAACAAATATGAAACAGAAAGCACTTATCACTAAAAATTTTCATCAGATGTGTACTGTGTTTTCAAACCTTATTTCATCTGGCTTTCCCAGTAAAATATAATTACAGTACTTGTACTCTATTGGAGTTATTTTTCCTAACAACAACCTAATATTTCTTCATATCTGTGAAAATGCGTAGTAAAAGTCAGTCCATCATCAGGATTGTATACAAATTCTTATATGGTGTTTTGCACCACGTCTGGCATAAGAGACATTGAAGCATTTTTCTTCAAAACCACTTCCAACAACTCTTCTTGTTTTGCAACTGTAGCAAACTGTAGTGTTGGTTTATTCTGTTGTTGTTGTTGAATTTCAACTATTGAAGCCAAAATTTTCTCCATATCTGCAAGAAAAGAATTTTTTTTAAAACCAAGGTGGTTGAAATTCTTCTAATTCCTGTTGCACACATATGAGTTTCAAAACTCTGGTCACCCACTATTATAACTCCAGTTATAATTTGGTGTTTCTTATACCACACTTGAGTTATAATGTTGCAATTTTTATCCTGTGCTTGTGTTAGAATTCCTTGTCATCAATTATTATAACTTCAGTTATAATGTTGCACTTGATTTAGGGATCCTCATTGCCAACTATTATAACTGCAAGCCAACTATATAACTTGTGCAATAGCCAACTTATTATAACTCAAGCATGGGATAAATTTGCAACACTATAACTAATGTTGCAAATTTATCCTACACTTGAGTTCAAGTATCCACATTGCCAACTAACTCGCTATTGTAAGGTTATTGTTATAACACACACTTATACTTGGTATAACCTAAGCATTATGTATAGGGAGTACTTAATGCTTAGGCTATTGCCATAACACTGGTATAGTTATTATGAAGACTGACTTCAATACAACTACTGCCCAAGACCTCATACCATGGAATTATTTATAGTATTGGATGTGTTCATAGTCACCAGTTGTGCACTCTTTATTTTACAACATTCTTTCAGAGCAAAATTTCCACTTCTGAACCTAGTAAACTGCTCACAGACAGTACTCTCAAATAAATTGGAGCAAAATTTTTTCTTGTGGATATGTTGGCAGAATGAAACAAATTGTGGAATTAACTAAGGTGCTACAAGTCACTTTACAGTAACAATTCCAACAACAACAAAGATTCCAACAAAAACAACAAGAAAGGTTTGAAAAGTTATTCAAACAACAGGCAAAAGACAATAAATCACTTTGGGAAGACGTATTGTCTAGGACAACAAAAGAATCGGGTTCTAGATTTTTTTCTGCTGAAGGAATTTCAAATTAACTCTCTGAATTTAAATACAACCCTGACAGTGGTTCAATGTTTTTGACTTATTTTTGTAGGTTTGAAACAATATTTATGAAAAGATATGAACAATGATCCGACGAGGAAAAAATCACTCTATTGTTGCAGAAGTTGGGAACAGAAGAAAATACAAAATATGCAAATTTAATCCTCCCAAAGAAGCCAGAAGAAATTACATTAAGCGAAACAGTAGAAATTTTGTTGAAAATTTTTGATAAAAGAGATAGTCTGTTTCATACATGATACAAGTGTCTAAATACTGTAAAACAAGATGATGATGATGATTTTGTCACGTATGCGGGTATGGTTAATGCACAGTGTGAGGCATTTAAATTAAAGGAATTGTCAAGCGACATGTTCAAGTGTCTAATTTTTGTGCAGGGTTTAACAACACCGAAGGACAAAGACATCAGATCAAGAATCCTCACTATCATGGAATAGAATACAAAGATTACGCTACAAAAAATAACAGATGAATGTCAGCAACTTATAAACATAAAAAAGATAATACTCGGATTGAGGAGAAGAGCATTTTGTGAGTACAAACTGTAAGACAACAGAAGTGGATACAAAATAAAGAAAGAAAAATGATATGCAGTTTGTGTGGAGGACAGCATATAAAGAAGGATTGTTTCTTTAGGGATAAAATATGTTTTAATTGTGGGCGTGTAGGCCATAGAAGTTCCTATTGTTGGGCAAAACAGAGAAAAGTAAAAGCAAAGTCTCAAACAAAGGTGAATGTAGTTTTGTCTAAAAACAAAATTGAGGGGGGGTCAAAGAAGAAAATACCTCAATGTAAAAATAAATGGGCAGACTGTAAAATTATTACTCGATTCAGGAAGTGATATCATGGTAATAAACGAGCAAACATGGAAAAAAATTGGTTACCCACCATTGACTAACACAGACAAAATTGCTAGAGGAGTGTCAGGAAAAAGACTTAAGTTTAGAGGTGAATTAAAATGTAACATTGCGTTCATGGGAAAAATTCACAAATCAAAAGTGTATGGGCTTCCTGGTTCAGTAAACCTCTCTGGTTTAGACTGGATCATATTGTTTAATTTATGGGAATTACTGGTAAATTCTTTCTGTAACAAAGTTAATGTCATAGAGAACTATAACACGAAAAAGCAAGTCTGGTTGAACAAGACAACTAAAAAAGGAATTAGTGTGTCACCGTTTTCAATCTGCGAACAGGTATTATTATATGCAGATAGAGTTGTAATGCCAGTTACTCTGCAAAACAAAAATTCTGAAAGAATTTCACACTGTCCATCCAAGGATTTTGAGAATGAAATTTCTAATGAGAGGCTATACTTATTGGCTGAGGATGGACCAAGACATAGAAAATTTGGTGAAACAGTGCAGAGGATGTCAACTGGCAGCAAGGGATCCACCGGTAAAGATTCAACCATGGCCAAAGACAGATGTCCCATGGACTCGATTACATATCGACTATGCAGGGCCCATAAATGGATCTTATTACCTGATCATTGTGGACAGTTTCACTAAGTGGCCAGAAATTGTTAAGTGCAGACATCCAACTGCAACAAATACAATAAACACACTTGATAAAATTTTTAGTTGCTTTGGCTACCTAAAACTTTAGTCAGCGACAATGGAATGCAGTTTATAGGAAGAGAATTCAAGGAATTCTGTACATCATTGTCCATTGATCACGTGACAACACCAGTATATCATCCAAGATTGAATGGACAGGTGGAAAAATTTGTGGACACCTTTAAACGAATACGATGTCAGGGTTATTGTTAGCAGAGTTAATGTTTGCAAGAAAAATATGCTTTGTGTTTGAAGGCTGTTGCCTAGTCTGGCGAAGAAAACTGCTAAAAAAGAAAAACAGATGACAAAGTTTTTCAAGAACTTCAGGGCTGGAAAAATGTATTGGGAAGAAGGAATGATAACCAAAAGAATTGGACAGGTCATATATGACATAAAAGGGGAAAAATATTGGTGCAAAAGTCATTGGAATCGATTGAGACCCAGACATACTACAGAGGTCACGGAAAATACCAAAGAGATTCCAATGGAAATCCTGTATGACACATTTGAAATTTCCGTGCCAGTAAGTCAACATTCGCCAATGGAGGTATCCCTGACCTCAAGGCCATAGGTAACAGTGTGTCAAACGCCACCACTGCAAGTAGGATTGAGGCGAAGAAGACTTAGGAAAAAAATCAATCGATTAGGTCCAGACCCTAATAAGAGAAAATATTAAAGCTAAATTTCATGGGAAAATTTAGCTCAGGGGAAGGTGATGTAATGAATATGCATACACCTGGGTTCCCTCTCATAATAATATGATTGGCTGGTGTCAGCCATAAATACAGACTGATGTGGAGGTACATGGACGACGCCTATTGGCTATGCCTATAGTCTTCACCTATTTCCTACCACTACGATGAGGGCCAGTCCATTACGGTTACCTGCTAGATTGTCCTACCCGGTTACAGTAGTCAATAACCACTTGCTACTTCGAACAAATATATCCCTTTCTGGGACATATCACACATTCATAGTCTACCCTTACAAGTGTTTCTTTTGGTATCTGGTTGGCATCTCTCCTATAAACCTCGAGCGTGTCCCTGAAATAGACAACTTGCCTTTATGTTGAAATAAATGTATGTTTTCTTTTCAAGTGAATAAGATTTTTCTGAGCGCCTGAAAACCAGATGGCCGTAATGCTGACAAGTGGCAAATCCCACACTTTGATACTTGCTATAATTCCATATAGAACTAACTGAATCATGCACCAGTGAGTTGACTGGCCTACATTTTATACAGGAAACCATTAATCATGTCCAGGCTAAACCAGCATTTGAACCTTGCTGGTTCAGTCTCCATCAGTCATTTATGGATTCTGATTAAGATTTGTAATTGATTCTTCTCTCATCAATTTATGCTTAATGTAACTTTTCTCTATGATTTTTCTATATACTTTAATCAATCATTTTTAATGCTACTAGTCTTCCAAAGGGTATTTTCATGCACAAATAAGACCTTATTCAGTTACACACGCCTATGATTTTTCAGGCATCATTTCAGGATTATCATTTTTATTATTTGTTTTTACATTAGATTTTCATATAAACAACAAATATAGAATAACCAAACCACAAAATTTTTTAAGTTTAATTATTTTACATGGGTCTAATTTATAACAAGCTGCATAATTATTAAAAAGTACTTACAAACTGCTAAATAATTACAAACATGATTTCTAAAATGGGTTGAACTTTGTTCAGTCAAGTTGAGTCTTAGTTTTTAACAAAATTTTCTTAACTTTAAAGTGGTCAACCACAACCTAAGCAACAACTTTTTTGTTTGATTGCTATCCAATTCAAACTTAAGGTACCATTCTTCTTCATCAGATTTTTGAGATGTAATACATTCAATTCTAACACTGATATGTACTTTTATATGAAAGGGTTTTCATGTTGAAGCTTTTCTAAAATTCATTTTTTTTTTTACTAATGTTCACCCAATACAAGGCCCAAGAGCTACTCAAGGTAGAGGGTTACTGTGTAGAGTTGTATTAGCATAAGAAAGGGAAAGATAATAGAAAAATTAGACAGATAATTCCAAACTTAAAAGGTCAAGATTTTATTAGCATATAAGATTTCAGAGTTCAGGCAATGTTAGGAATATAGAGATGAAGTAGACTTTAGAAGGAACCAGAAAGACAATTCCAAACAGGAAACAAGGGATAAACCTCTACACCTGTTAAAAAATCAGGAAGAGTATGAACTGGACAATAGGCAAGTATATTAACTCCTGTTGGAGGAGGCAAAAAAAAATTAATTAGTGAAAAACAATTCAGAGTTCAGGTGGATTCATTAGAAGGAAAGAGTTGAAGTAGACTTTAGAAGGAACCAGAAACCCAATCCTAAACAAGGAACAAGGATTAAACCTCTACTTCTGTTCAAAAGACTGGGGAGGAGTGTGAACCAGACAATATATATATATATATATACTCATTTAAAAACAAATACACTTAAATAAATAAAATCACAAACAAAACAAAATTAGGAAAACAATATTGTAAGAATATTTCCCTGTCCATTCTTTCAGTGTTAATCAACTGTTAAAGATACTTTGGCCAAATTTCACTCTCCTAACCCTTTCAGTTCCCCACTCCTTCTTCCTCTATCAACCCTTTCCTATAAACAACTAAGTCAGCAAATTCATTTTTTTGAGTGTGTGAATATCACAAGATATACAAATAAATCTAAATTTTGGTTAAACTGTTTAGGCCAGCAAAAGATGATTACAAGCCAAAATATACACATACTCATTTAAAAATGAACACTTAAATGAATAAAATCAAAATAAAATTAGGAAAACAATATAAGAAAGAAAATATTCCTTTAAACTAAATTCTTTGGAACTTACAAAATTTTTGGTGAATGTCAAAATTCTTTAAATCAGGTAAACAGAAGAACGAATACATAGGCAAAACAATGCCATTACCATAATGAAAAATACACTTTCTTATTAGAATATATACAATTACATGATTGTATTTTTGATTTTTGTAAATGATGCATGTTATATATAAGGGACATACCTCAATGATCATTAACCATGTGTTTTGTTTTCTTTTTTGTTTAGGTGTTTCATACCAAACATTTATAACATTATGATAAAGTGCAACACAAACATAATTTCATTGCAAGTCTTTCAGCTTCTCAAATATCTTTAATTACTTACGTTCCACGGACAATGTCAGTTATTGCCTCAGTGACACTATCATCTCCTGCAGAAGAATAGTTCTTGCTACGTTCATCTAGCAATTCTACAAACTTAGCTGGGAACCAACCACGAAGTCCATTTAGCTCCCCAACCCAGCAGTGTTCATCCTTTTGGGAGATTATCTACAAGTGATAAACAAATTAAAAATCTAAAACAGAATAAGTCAACTTTCCATAGTAGTTTTGTTTTTGTTTATATGAATCTTGAGATTGTTTGAGATTACAAGCCTCTTTTCAACTCTTTGCAATCATTCAAAAAGTATTATAAATTTATTTTATGATCGTTAGCAAATATATAGATTGAAGTCAAGATAACAGATATGTCTATAATCATAACTTGCTAAAATAAAAGAACAGACATCTTTTCATAATTCTAAATGACCACAAAATTGTGTATTTTAATGTTTCCAAAAAAGAGAGAGAAAATAATTTCTAAGTATTAAACTTTAAAGCCTTTATTTCAAACTTACATATGACTAAAATAAATTCTTTTAAGAGAAATTTGAAAGTTCTGTTTTCAAAGATTAGTAGTAAAAATGAATATCTACTGTAAATAAAATAATAAAAAAAAACAAAACAATTTTCCTTCTAACTTTACAAAAAAAACTTTTTTGATAAAAAAAATATCTCACAGTTATGATGTCATTCTTTCGAAATCCAAGTTCATCATCATCATGTCTTTCAAAATCAAGCAATGCTTTTGCCCTACGCCGTCTGTTGCGGGCTACGTTGACATAATTTTCTAAGTCTCGAGCGTGACTCTCCATGGAATAATCTGCCTATTAAGATGAAAGAAAAATGTCAATATACATGCTGGAAGAAATAAAAGTTATTTTAAAGTCTAGAATTTATTTAGCAATAAAATTAAGGATTTTCATCAGTAAGCAACAAAATTAAAATACATGTTCACAATTTATTTTGCACATAAACATATTTCTAATCATAAAAAAAAAAAAATTCAGTCAAAAAAGAGGGAAAAAGAGAATAATGAAGAAAGGAAAAAGTAAAGACTTATTTTTAAGCAATTTATTCTATTATTTACATAAAGAAATAGTATTTACCTAAAATTTACACCATAATAATAAAAAAGTACAAAAATCTCAATACATTAAAAATAGAACAAAAAGTATTCAATGCCATACACAAAGTAGAATCAAAGAAAGCCCAATATTTTGTGGAATGGCTTTTGTATACAATGCCAAACTTCATTTGCTTTATGTAGCTTTGAACACTCTTTTGTTGGTATTTTGGACCATTATTCTTCTATGTTCCATGTCACTTCAGGATGTAGGTTATCATGGCTCTCCAAAATTTCCTGTCCCTTATAGCTCTTATAAATTTTCTCTTTTTATAATAATTTTGTAACTTTTACCATTATAATAAATATTAACTGCAGTATATCTGAATTTTATAGAATGTTCTTTAGTTTTCAGCATTATGGTTGTTACTGGTCAACTGATATATCATGTCATCAGCCTAAGAATGTTAACTACTACTTAGAATATTCTAGATTACCACTAACCAATTACTTAGAAATTTACATCCTCCAGCAATATTTGCTTACTTCTTTCATGAAAATGTACTGAATATGTACGTTTTACTTAATCTTTTTTAAATATATCTTTTATAACGACAGTTCATCTGAAGTTATTACACAAATTAAAATCTCAATAACTTGAATTTGCTTTGAAAATTTTAAACAATTTAGATATCAAAACAAAGTTTGAGTTAAATTTTTAGGTAGTTTCAACATTTTTTATTAAAATTATTATTGGATTGATTGTAAAAACTGCAGTTTAAAGTTATTATGCAGATTAAACTTAATATTAGTTTAAGGCCTCTGAAATCTAATAAAAACTATTTTGTTCCTTTTTTTCATAATATATATTGAATCATGGGTGATGGAAAGGATCCAACAAATGCTGAAAAACAAAAAATAAAGTTATTGAGTGAGCAAATGACCACATTGGAGAAATCAAAGGAGTTTTACAGAGATCATCAAATAATAAAATAATAATTGAAAATATAACTAAGTTGAGAATGAGAAACAAAGGAAAAAGCTTTAAGAACTTGTCTACTTGAAAAAAACATAAACTAAAGCATCTTATAGTGAAACTGCCACTTTTGACCAGTGATCTTTGAAGGTTTAAATTGAGGGAGGCAAGAATACTTTGCAAATTGGAACTGTCAAATCTCCTCTGAGTAAAGCAAACATTTTAAAGAGTCAAAATTGGGCCAAAAAATACATGCAAATTGACTTTTTTAAAGTAATTTTCATAGACATTGATGCAGATATATCTATGTTTAAGAGAAGGCAGCAAAGATGTGGCAATGGTATTGTTTGGAATTATTGGACCATTCAAAGTCGATTAAGGAGTTAACAGTGCTAACTACTGCAATTTCATGAACAAGACTTTCTTTGATTGATACAAGTCTCAGTGTTACAGTTTCAAAGTTTGTATTTATGCATAATAATGCTCCTTCTCATATATCTAAGTTTACCCGTGAATTCTCTTAGCATAAAAGTTTTACAATTGAGAAAATAATGTAATGGTCACCATCGAATCCTGATCTGAACCCAATTGAACATGTATGGTCAATTATGAAGAAGAAATTATATGAAGATGGCAAAAAATATGACAGCAAAACAAACCTATGAGAAGAAATTAAAACTACCATGTCAGAAATTGAACCTGCTAAAGAAAAAAAAAATTAACAAAATCAATAGATAATAGATTTCTGGCTGTTATTGAGAAGTGTTGTTGTTATATTAACCTTTACAACTCTGCAGGCGTAGATGTCCATCGGTGATATTCTTTCTCAATATTCTCCAAGCAGACATGTTTGCCAAGAGACAGACCTTTGTTTCAAAGGGAAAATGTTTTCTAAAACTAACCTATTACTATGGAAACGACCTCATTAAGCTTATGATATGAACTGGCAATGACCAGATGTCAGCCAATTAGTTCTTATTGAAATAGTTGCTTTATCAGCGAATTGAAGAAAAAAGTGTTTTAAAAACCTTCGTTTTTTCAATCACTGTAGTGAGGCATAGACCTGTTACATCGATAAAGGCAGTTTTCATAGACAGTGAAAATGACAAAAAAGAATTTCTGGGATTTATCCACACAGATATTGGTAATATGCGTGACAGTTATAGTGAAAGTGATTCCGACCAAGGAGAAATTTCTGAACTATCATAAGCATATGATCACTCTTGTCTACCAGATTCGAGAAGCTAGTGAGATAAATGTTTTTCATTTTTTTTATCTGATGAAGTTTGCTAATTTAGTGGTAGTGGAAACTAACCGGTATGCCAATGTAAGTAAAAACAAAATTAGTTAACACAAATCAGAGCTTGAAATGCTGAAATGTTTGCTTTGAAGAAATGAAAGTATTTTTGGCCCTGCTTTTGTTGATAGGTTTGACAAAAGGGACCTTCATATTCATCTTACTGGACAACAGATCCCCTTTTATGTATGCAAGGCTTTCACAATGTTATGTGTAGGAACCGTTTTCTATCAATTCTATCATATTTTCATCCTGTTGATAATTCAATGGCAGTATCCAATGACTCCCAATATGAAAAAGACTTCAAAATAAAACAATTCGTTGAAACTACTCTCCCACTTTAACATTACTACACCCCTGCTAAAGAAATAAGTTCAGATGAAAGTATGATTACTTTCAAAGGAAGGATGAATCTTATGCAGTACATGGCCAAGAAGCAGTCAAAATGGGGAATGAAAGCCTGAGCATTTGCAGAAGCAAAGACTGACTACTTTTATAATTGGAAATTGTATTTAGGAAAAAAACAAATACTAGAAACACATCAAGTGTTACACATAGGGTAGTCACATCACTGGTTTGTTTACTTTACAACCATGGCCACTTTTTTTTACTTCATCTGAGTTGTTTGCCAAGTTATCCAAGAAAGTCATGGATGTGTGCAATACCCTTCAGACAAATCGCCTTTTCCTGCTGAAATCAAGAATGCAAAACCCAAGCCAAATGACCCCCCCCACACACACACACCATTACCAAATGTGACAGCAACAGCCTCTTTTTGTCCTAGTGTGACAAGTGGCCGGTCAACCTACTTACTACCTGCTACTCTGATCAGACTTTCAGGAAAGAAGTTAGGTTGAAGCATCACCAAGAACACGTTCACATCATGGACAAGCCCTATACTATTGAGAACTACACTAGAAGCATCAGAGGAGTTGACCACTTTGAGAAGTAGTTAAGTCTTTTTTTTGCTGAACACAAGTAGTGGAAGAAAGTTTTTTTAAATTATTTAAAGGCTGCTTTTGTAATTCTTGGGTAATTTGGAGGGCATTATACCCCAATCAAACAACGGCTGAGAAATTCCACCTGAAGATAGTGCACAGACTTCTAGAAGGGTATCAGCTGACTGAGCTCTTGCCTAGGAAGGTGCCCCAGTGACACTCAGGACAGGCAAATGGGTGATCACTACATCATGATAAATACAAAAAAAATATGTCTACATTTTCTACATCCTTTCATGCAAATATCCAGAAAATTTTATAATATCTCTAAAATCCTAAAAGTTGCTGCTAGTAATATACCCAACATTCAAAAACTTACTACACCCAAAATTAATATGGATTCAAAGGATACAACTCTGAAAGTTAATGTAGAGTTATAAAGGTTAAAATGTAAATGCTTCAAAAACTTATATATGTTTGTTATTTGTTTTATTATCAGTGTTGATCAATTATTTCATTACCTTGTTACTGAAGTAAAAAATGATTTTCTGGTTTTGCAGAAATCACATTGCAAGTTTTATAATAAATCTAATGTAATGTTATTAGATTTATTATAAAAACTACAAACTAAAATAATAAATAAAACATGTTGAAACTTCCTAATCATTTAATTGAAGCTTTGTTCTGTTGTCAAATTTTAAATGATTGTTTAAAAAGTTGACAAAAATTTTACAAAGCAAATTGATTTTGAGGTTTATTTGATTTGCATAATAATTTCAGATTGACTGTATATATAAATGTATTGGTAGAAATTTTTGCTATTAAGTATTGTACAGATGAGACTTATGTGGTGTAATAGTAAGGTAAATACTTAGTAAACATGCAATAAACTGTTTTTGTGGTGTGTATCAAATACTTACTTTCCTCATTCTGTATATTTCTAAGGTTTTTCAGTGAATAAATACTAAAGAGTTCTTAGTTAGAAATGCTAATCTGTATATAAATAACCCCATCAGTTTTTACTATTGAATAATTTTTAATTAAAAGTAAAATCTTACAAAATTTAGTTAAATTAGATATACCAGAATATCCATCAGTTATTTGCTGTTATTTTGGTCATTACCAGGATGTTGCGAAGTTTTGGGTCCAATCCACTCTAATGAGCAAACATCAAAATACTGATTTTGTGAAGTGGGTCAAGGAAAAAACATTTCAATACACCCTTGTATTATTGTTACATCAATTTATAAAAATTGATATACACAGAAAAAATTATTAACACCAAACAAACTATTTGGATACATAATTTCATGTAAAAAAAAGAAAACATTGAAAATGTAGGTGCCAGCAACTGACACCAATAATAAGATTCAAATCACAGTATAGAAATTTAAATAATTCATCTATGCTGGAGAAGAGAAAAAAAATGATAAATTCATACTTCAAAAAGCATTAACAGAGAAATACAATAAGTACCAGTGGAAAAAAAACCTTATTTTGAATTATAACTATTTGTATAACTATTTGTCAGATAATTTTAGAAAAATATC